TACTGAATCCTAATCCCTGTACCTGTGGAGGTGCTGTAATCGGTTTCCATAAGACAGGCTAATGCTACGTTAATGAGGCCAGGCCAGCGTAAAGTGGTTACCATCCCAGTGGTAGTCCATCCTGAGTCATCCAAAGAGTAGGTAGTAGGCCCAGAGACAAGCAAACATAAACTAGAAGAAAGATAGAGTCCGTGTGAAGGTCACCCAAGAGTTAAGAACCGCTGGGGCTATAGAGCTGGGGGCCTTGAATTTGGATTTCTAGCCTTCTGAACTGTGAGAAATACACATTTCTGTTCTGCAAAGCCACCCCCTTGTGGTATCTGAGTTATAGCAGCACTGGCGGTATTTGTAAGATGAACAGTAACCATACCTTGCCAAGCCATTTTGGAGTGAGGGAAAAGGCAAAACCAGTAACACCCTGTTTTTATTTAGAATTTTGGTATTTTTAGCTCATCATAGGTTTCTTACATTAACTTTTATTTAGAAAAAAAAAACCCTTAAACTTAAAGAAAAAATACATCATACGAAAGCATGATTTATCTTCCGTTTTGTCGCTGAGACGTGCATCTGAACGGCTTTCCCTTCCTTAGGCCTGATTGGGCACCATGCACCATTGGTGGGTGGGGAGACAAGATGGCACACGTTCCTCTCTGGAAATGTTTCAGAGAAAAAAACACTTAGAGCTACGTACATTCACGTCTAGTTACCAAACACTGGTACTTCCTGAGTGAGGGCAAAGCTCGGTAAGCAGCAACCACGATTTCCCACGATTTGGCTTAAGTATTAAGTTAGAAGGTGTTTTCCAAATCCCATCACGACTACAAAGTGGACGGGTTGTCTTGACGCTTTTGTGGCTGTTCTTAATTCTATCTCGAAGGCACCATAGTATCAAAACCCATAACTTTTTCTTTTTCTTTTTTTTTAAGGAAAGCAAGAAGAGGAAAGAAAACGGACCCAGGTTGACTCATCAAAAGGTTCGGCGTCCGCGGTAGCTCCCTCTGGTCCGCTCTCTGTTCGTCTTGGCCGGAGCGGGCCGGTGCGCCTTCCTCCGGGACTCCACTTGAATCCATCCATCGCTCACCTTACTCTCTTCCTCACTGGTTCTCGTCTCGGGGTTCAAGGGCATCCCCGGTATTGTCCTGGGCTGCGCGTGGTCATTCAGCCTCCGCTTGACGTCCGGTGACGGGGTGGCCGGCGGGACGCGGTAGTACCTTTCCCGGGAAGGTGTGGAATGCTGGCTCTTCCCACTGCAGCGCCCGCGCGGGGAAGAGTGGAGGGAGGCGCTCCCACGGTCGTACCTGTCCCTTCTTCTCCCCGAGTAGCGGTCCCTCTCGGACGAGCTGTCAGTGTGCATGCTGGAGAAGCCGCTGTCCCTGGAGTTGAGCTGGAGGGAGGAGAAGTTCCTGGTCAGCCCGTACTGCGTGGGAGAGGAGCTTCGGGACTGGTTGATCGGCGTGATCTGCTGGTACTTACTGGGCGCCTGCTGGCGCCGCACGGCCGCGGCATAGGAGTCCTGGTTTTCCAGGAATGGGAAGAGCTGAGCGCTCAGGATGGGATTGCTCTGGGAACGCTGCAGGGAAGTGTTGGACGCCATCTGGCGCAGGCGCAGCGTGTCCAACCACTGGCAGTCCGCACCTGCAGGGGGAAAGCCAAGGGACATCTTAGTTTAAATGACGGCGAAGTTGCCCGGGCGCGTTCACGAGCCTGTCTGAGAGCCCCCAACGCCGCTTGGGGTACACCCTTCAGAGAAGGTCTAGGCCAGATAGAAGGCCGTCTCTTCTATGAATATCCTCCCTTGATCTTCACAGCTTTAGATTTGACTTAAGTTTGCACTTGAACCGGATGATAATGTGCTTTGGTTTTCTTGCTTCTACGAGAAAGTGTGTCTGTCTCTCTGGGTGTGCAACTGCAGGTACTAAAACATACACCTGCTCACCAATGGCAAGGTGTGCGGTTTGTTGACCAGGCTGACATTCTTCACCTTGCATCCCTATCTCGGCCTCTAATGCCCGCCAACCTTTAACACACACGCTTGCCCCTGTCCACACAGTGACTGTTGTCATTTCAACCTCATGCAGGCAACAAGGTTAGTTCCTTTATTACTGCAAATATACTCCCTCCCTCCCAGTGAGCTGACTGAGTGGATTGCGACGCATAGCGACCCTATTGGATGCAGTAGAACTGCCCCTGTGGGTTTAGGAGGCTGTCAGTCCTCATGGGAGCAGAGAATCCCATCTTCCTCCCATGGAGTGGCTGGTGGTTTCGACACGCTGACCTGTGTTAGCAGTACGACTCACTATGCCAACAGGGCTCCTACTATCTGTGATTCTCAAACTCACTGCCATCGAGTTGAGCATGACCCACTGTGACCCTATAGGGCAGGGTTGTTGAACTGCACCCGTGGGTTTCTGAGACTCTTTACAGAACAGAATATCCCGTTTTTCTTGATGGGAGCAGAAAGCCATCCAAGGAGCGGCTGGGGACCTCAAACTGCTGACCTTGAGGTTCAGCTTCCTGAGTTGATGCTGTGTGCTTGTGTGTTCCAGGCTTTGCTTATTACATTATCTCTAATTTTCCTAACAATTTTATCAGAGAAACACAACCTGTCTTAAGGTCAAGCAACTCGCCCAAAGTCACTCAACCAAGAATCCGAGGTCCTTTTGCATCTGCCTCCCACCTTCTGTCTAACTAGCTACGCCTCCACTTCTAGAAATGACTGTTTTCACGGGGCTGTGTGGCAGGGATATGTTTAGCAGACAAACGCACCTTCCAAAGCCTTTTCTAACCAGCAGTTTAAAACCTTCTGGGTCCCTAAATCCAAGGAAAGGAACCAAATTCTGGTGGTTGAAGCAGATAGAGATGGGAGAAACCCAGCCCCTATCTCTAGAGCAGAGATTCCCAAGGTTCATGAATCAGAAGTGGTTTGGGGTAGGAAAAATGAAGCGGCATGGTCTCCAGGAAGACAGTAAGGCAAAATCCCATGGCTGATTCACAAGGATCACTAAGTATGCTGCATCTTAGCGAAGAAACAAGCTCTTCACACCAGGGATCTTTCTGCTGCCTTCTTCAGTACGTGGAGCTCCCCAGTCGTCCTCCTTGCCACAGCTTCCCCAGCCGTTCTGGCTCGGGTTGTACAGACGGCGCTTCTAGAGGGGAACCGAGCACGCTGCTCCTGTCAGTGAGTGGCCTCCTTCAGGCCTCTGCACAGGGACGACTCACCCTGACATACCTCCCAAGGTACTGTCAACCACAGTACCTACTGTCCTTCACTTTCAGGCCTCTGAAGTGTCCCAAACTTGAGCTCCCTCCCTGAGGACCTTCTAATCAGATTGAATTGGGTCCCTTTAAGTATGTCTTCAACTCAACTCCTGCGCTTGTAAAGAGGAGCTCTGGTGGCAAGGTAGTTATGCATTGGGCTGCTAATCACAAGATTAGCTATTTAAAACCACCAGCCACTCTGTGAGAGAAAGACTTTCTACTCCCACAAAGAGTTACAATCTTGGAAACCCACAGGTCGGTTCTACTCTGTCCTATAAGGTTGCAATGAGGCAGAATTTACCAAGGGCAGTGAGTTTGATTTTTGTTCTGGTACTCATAAATGTGACTTATTTGGAAATAGAGGTTTTTCTGTAGTCAGTTTCATGAGGTCATGCCAGAGTAGGGTGGGTCCTAAACCTAATTACTTCAGAGTTCTAAAATGAACAGCATAGATATAGGGACACACCCAGGGGCAGACAGATGCCAAGGAACACCAACGAACTCCCAGGCAGCAATGAAGAACCTTCCCCCAGGACAGCGGTTCTCAACCCGTGGGTTGCAACCCCTTTAGGGGTTGAATGACCCTTTCACAGGGGATGCCCGATTCATAACAGTAGCAAAATGACAGTTATGAAGCGGCAATGAAAATACTTTTATGGTTGGGGGTTACCACCACATGAGGAACTATATGAAAGGGCGAGGCATTAGGAAGGTTAAGTACCCTAGGCCACACCCTTAATTCACACATCTAGCCTCTTAGAAATGTGAGAAAATAAACTCCTGTTCTTTAAAAGTACCCACTTGTGATATTTCTCTTATAGTTGCAATAGCTAGCAAAGATACTTGGTAAACATTTTGATTAATTTTCTGTGTTCCCTGACTGTCTGCACTGGCTCGGTCTGTACACTCGGTGATAATCTTGGAGTATTTTGGCCCAAAAGGCCTGGAATACTAGATGAAGATGCTTCATGTCTAACCTTCTCCAGGTGGGCTATTTGGTAAGCTTCCCTTTGGTCTACTGTCTGCCATTCACAACTGGGCAATAGTTTACCTTTGATGGGAGCTAGATTGTGAACAGCATATAACACATTTCTCAGTAACCCAAGGACAGGGCTCTTTGATGGGCAATTTAAAGGGAGCTAGTAGATGCACATAGCACTCTTCTTCAAAGCTTGTCTGCGTGCTCATCATTCCTCTGTCCCTAACATTATACGGAAGCCCCACGCTTCAGGAAGCTGGGAGAGTGTTCCCATTATGAGACTGAGCAATGGAAAAATGCAAGTTACAACCACCGCATATAGGGATGAGCCCAGCATCTTTGCTTTAAAACCGTGCTGACAGAAGGCCAGCTAAATCACACAGTATCACTGCCAAAGGACTTCATTTTCCTCCTCAGTTTTTTTTCTCCCCAAATTATTAAAACAATCCAAGAGTCAAACTCAATGGCACCGAGTCGAGGCCAACTCACTGCAACCCTCCAGAACTGGGCAGAACTTCCCCAGTGGGTTTCCAGGGGACTCAAAGCCTGTCTTTTCCCTTGGAACAGCTGGTGGGTTTGAACTGCTGGCCTTGTGGTTAGCAGCCTAATGCCCAACCACTACACTACCAGTGCTCTTAATAAAAAAATACATACAGTCAAATACTCCCTTAAACTCCCCTCCCTCTCTGGGCACACTCATCCTGACCACCGCCCTTAACTTTTCCATTCTTGTTTTACAGACCTGGTCTCTCTGCTTCTCTCCAAGGCCAACTCTTCTTTCTGAGCACTGGCTCCTATCTGTCTTTCTCGGGTTACACATTGAGTTGCTAACCACAGGGTTAGTAGGTTCGATCCACAAGATGCTCCCAAGAGAAAGCTGGGGCTTCCTGCTCCTACACGGTTTCAGAGTCTTATGGGACGCGACGAGTCGGAATTGACTCCGTGAATTTGGTTTGGTTTTGGTTTATACATCCCCGTTCTCTTTCCTCGCTCGTCTGGTTTGGTTTTGGTTTATACATCCCCGTTCTCTTTCCTCGTTCGTCATGTACCCGTCAACAAGAAGTGGGTGCCTGGTGGAGGGCACTGCCTCTCCATTCCTGCCTCCTCCTTTTGTGGCGCGTACAGGTCCTGGCACTATCACCAATGCCTTGGCAGACATAAATGAGCTAACCCCCCACCCCACTGCCACTGAGCTGATTCCAACTCCTAGAGAGACCCCAGATAGGACAAGCAGAACTGTCCCTTGGGGCTTCCAAGCCTGTTCATCTTTAAGGGAGCAGAAAGTCTCGTCTGCTCTCAGACAGTGGGCGGCAAGTCCAAACTGTCCGCCTGGCTGTGAGCAGCCCAACACCTAACCCTCAGTGCCACCAGGGCTTCTCGCAAATGAGTCAGAGCTAGAAAAACAGCTGTTTTCATTTAGGGGGAGGTTACCATGGGGAAGAAAAGCAAATCTCCGAATTGTCGTTAAATGGGAGAGAAAGGAAACAGAGATACGAATGTAGAGACTTTGCAGAAGGTAGAAGGCAGGCCCTCTAGGGTCTAGGATGGATTCTTCAGGACTTTGAAAAGGCGTATTGATTTCCTTCTGACTTCCTCTGATTTCACCTCGCTTCCTTCCTTTCCTTCCTCCCCATCTCTTCTTCCAGGTATCATATGAGGACCCACTTCTTAGAGGCTTTGAGTGTTGGGGTTTTCTTTGTACCTCAACATTCCTTCCTTCCATCCTCATTAGAAACAACAGAGCCCAAATTTTGTTTGGGTGTTCAGGCACGTCCATGCAGTCGTATGTGGCAGGGGAAGCAGGTTCCGACCTAGCTTCTGGGGTGGACTTTGGTCTAAGTCAGACACAGTGCTGTTGTGTTGAGGACAGACAAGGAGCTCAATGCTGGCCCAAGAGACATGGAAAAAATGGGAATGTCTCCTGGAGGCTTAGAGGAAAGCTGTCCCCGCTCTGAACCATGATGACCGCCAGAGAACTGCACCGTAGTTCCTCGGGATGCGTGTGGCCATATAGTCACGTGAGGACCACGAGCAGCCACACGGTTGAGGATGGAGAGTGTAAACAAGAGCCTCCTCACTTTCTGCATCTGAAGCTTAGACCGATTCTTATTAAGCACAATAATAACTTTCGTTTTTGTCTAAGCCAGTGGCTTTCAAACGTTAGCGTGCCCCTGCCTCACTTGCAGGGCTGATGAAAATGCAGACTGCTGTTCCCTACTCTCACTGTTTCTGCTCTGGTCCGTCCGTCTGTCTTGAGCCTTCTGAATTTGCATTTCAGAGGGCCCAAGTGTATTAGCACTTAAATTCTGAGCACCCTGCTTGCAGAAGGCTATAGATGACAGTGGAAACCCATTTGCAGAATCCCCGTGTGGATTAAGCCTCCAACGAATTTCCTTTGAAGAGCCCTGGCAATGTTGTGGTTCTGCACTGGGCTGTGATCAGCATGGTCAGCAGTTCGAAACCATCAGCAGCTCCACGGGAGAAAGACTGGCCTTTCTCCTCCCGTAAACAGTTACAGTCGCAGAAGCCCACACGGGGTCACTACGAGTCAGCATTGACTCCACAGCAGTGACTTTGCTTTGTCAGCTCGGGATTTCCTTTGATCACCAACCAAGAATATAGATGGTCTTGCCCGCAGGCAGGCGCATTGGAAAGTGGATGACCTCCATCCTTCTCCAGCCAGCCTAGTGAAGGGCAGTCTCTCTTAGGGGCTCGCCTGGGTGTGCTCTTGATGGACAATACACTCCAGGGGTGGTGGGTGTCTCATCGTCAAGAGCCATAGCCATGCCTCATCAGTCTTGCCCTGACTGCCTTGCGTGGAAAGCCCTGGACCAATCCTGTAAGCGCTTCTATCTAACATAATGTGTGTGTCCCAATCACGGCCCTGTTCCTGCTTCTGTAGTCCCACCTATAACTGTGATGTATTGATCTATCGCCCATCATGCATTTGTGACAGTTTCCTTTGCTCCGTGCCTTATGTAACTAGCATCCTGACTGTGACTCCTCAGATGCCATTATGACCTCTTGCTAACGGCCTTCCTCATCCGGAGGACACGTTGATGTCTCTATGTTGTCCTTGTCCCTTTCAATACCTAATACCCATTCCCCTTAAATTATATTTGAGACTGGGGTCTACCCTGACGCACAAGCTCCCAGCTGGTCTGGAAGCGGCTGGACTAGGAAGCACATGTGGAGAACCACTGGGGCAAACCAGTTGGAGTTGGGGTTTCTGTCCTTTGAAGGTGACAAATCCTTTTACAATTGATCGAGGTGGGGTCCTCTCAGGCTTCACTTCCTACGCGGCTTCCGGGAGGAAGGAAGGGAAGGGAGCTGGTGAGCACTGGTGTAAGCCAGCACCTTCTTTCACTCGGCAATCTTGCCAGTGAATAATCAGAAGGAAGTATTACAGTACAAATACCTGTCTGTTCAGACACCGGCTCTTCCCCTTGCTCTGAGAATGTCATCGGTACGTTTTTGGACTCTATTGCGTATGGAACATTTGAACAGTGACTCACTTGAGTTGGATCTGCTTCCGGGGGTGCCCTCTGAGTTGGGGAATAATGACTGAATGGCAAGTTGCACGGCTTTGACGTCATCCTGAGGTTTCACTCGGCTCCACTGAATCGCATGGACATGTTTGGAGCTCTTTGGAGCTCTCACATCACTCTGGTAAAATAAGAAAGAAACACAAGCCCAAACATGCAGACGTTTACAAAGTTGGAAGGCCAGAAAGTCAGGCAGCCATGCAACTCCACTCTCAATCCTTAGCAACTCTCCTACTGCATTGGCAACAGAGCCGTCACAGTTGGCCTCCAGGTGTGAATTAGATTAAAAGGAAAACACGTAACCACTTTAACTATTAGAATACAGCATTCTCAGTAGCTAAGAATATGGTTATCTTCTACAAGAACAGATTACATTTAGAAAACCTCAACTGATTCTTGGTCGAAGAAGAAAAGAACAACAGGCCCTGTCTGATGCCGGTAGTGTTTGAAAACAGGTATCGTGTTGAACAAATACACATCGACGGCTAGCTACCCCAGGCGGCTTTGACCATCAGGGCAGTTGGATGGTGTGGGTGGCTTGGTGGGGCGACAGGAGGGGGCAGGATAACAGATGCAAAGGCGAGATGGAACCCAAGGGCTAAGCAATCAGGGCCCGAGAAAGGAGAGGACCGCGGACCCAGAGACACTGTTAGTTCTTCTCCTGCTCGCCCCACCTCAGACGACGACAGACCGTCAGGTTCCCAGGTGCTACACGTTCATGTCCTACAGAGCCTCTCCCGGAGCCAAGAAGGTCGTGAAGATGTGTGATAACGCTGGGTTTCCAGAACCGTCCGGGGCAGATGGCGAGGAGATTGTAACGCTGCTACTGTCCAGTTGTTAGAAGAGGGCTTTTCCCGGGAAGTGGGGACCAGCTAAATGTGGGAGGACTAGTCTAGATCACAAGCGCCTTACGGACAACCCACCTCTTTTGTTTGGGTGTGTACAGTATTTCCATGGTTGATTTTTCCTCTGGGCCTCATCCCCAGTAAGGTGTATATCCCGGCTAAAGCCCACTGCCATCGAGCAGATTCCGACTCAGGGAGCTTCTAAGGGTGCACCGTGTACAGGAGCAGACGGCCTTAGCTCTCGCCTGCAGCGCAGCTCATGCTTCCGAAACGTCCGCCTTGCAGTTAGCAGCTGAGCAGTACACCACTGCCCCACCAGGCTCCTTCTGAGCACATAGACCTTGTCTAGTCCAATCACGGCGTAATCACCTGGCAGTAGCCGTCTTTGCTAAATGAATGGGCTTTAATTGCATAGCGTATTTTCTGAAGTATAGCATTTCTATTTTTCCACATAAAAAATATCGTAAGATTGAAAATGTCAATATCAAAGATCAAAAATATCAAAGAATCTGCTTTTAATAATACCCCAGGCAGTGGTAGTAGGGGTTGTGCTCTGTGCTATTGCAGAATCAATGATCTGTTCTCCCCACTAAACTTGAAGCACCAAGAAGGCTTTTCTGGTCATTCTTTGGTACCTCTGGGACCTAACATACTCAATGCTGTGGAAGGTGCTCAATCAATAACCGATAAATGCATCTCCCACTAGGTGATGGTCCCCAGGACTCTCTCTTTCCTAACACTTTCTCAGAATGGTTTTCTTGATTCTCTACGTTCAATGTGAACTGGCTGACTAACCTCACTCACAATGAACCCTCTGAGGGAGGCAACGAAACACCTGGAGAGAAACTGACAACGCAGCCGGCGGCTCCCTTCCCAGCCCAGAACGTACCTCATATGTAACAGTGCACTCCACAGTCTGATTGTCTGCTATGCCCACGATCCACTTCTCCATGACAAATGGGGGCTGGAAAGGACAAACGAGGATGAAACCGTGTTGTCACATAGCCTTCTGCAGGGTAGTTTTCTCTGAGACCCATGCAAGACTGGCAAAGAGGGGAGTGATGGCAGATGAGCATGGGAATCATGCCGGCTCTCCTCGGGTTACTCTCAGTGCCAGTGTTCTGAACCACCTGCAGAAGGCTTTCTCACAGTGAAGAGAAAGAACGACAGGAGAAGACCTCGAAGTGCCTTCCTGGAGAGCAGGTAGAGGCTAGTGCCGTGACTCGGAGAGTCACTCTGCTGTCTATCATCTGGAGAAGCAGCAAATGCAACCCTTGAAGCTGTGGATACATCCCCTGGCCTGAGGGAAGATGCTAGACCTTGGATCATATTTTTAGTTTTCATGAAAATGGTCTCTATCAGAAGTGAATGTCTGCTCTCCTCTTCTTCTCCTGCCTGACCCCCCTGTAAGGTGACAAAGGGGGGGCTGGCTGCGGGGCTGGGTACAAAGCAAATGCAGTAGATATGTAACTGGGTTCTTCAGATTTTTTTACTAGGATGGTGATTGCTTTTGCCAGTGTTCTAATTTTTTAAATTCTATAGATTTTGAGAGGTCTGCTTTAATCCTGTTTACTTTATAGCACAGGGTTTATCAGGAATGTATACTGGTATATGACATTATAGTGGAAACCTGTATTAATTCAGTCTGATAATCCCCCCTATATATTTGCTTTTACCTTCTTGGACTCGGCCTTGCAGCCATGGACAGCTGCTACAACCAGAGACATCACAGATTGGGAGGAAAGAAAACAAGTCTTTTAAATTTGTTCAGGCCACCAAAACAATATGGCCAAAGGGGGGAAAAAGGGATGGTCAAAACCAAGTTATAACCTTTACCAACACATAACGTCATTGGAATAACTCCCCACTGCACAGGGGAATCCAACAAAGAACATCCCGTGCATCTGCTTGATGCGTCCACTTACAAGTGAAAAGGGACTTGGGAGTTGAGCAATCTCATGGCTGTGAGAGAACACATGTCCAAGTCGAGGGCCATGGCTGTGGAGAACCTTCTCATTTCCCTACATGGATTTGTGCCCTGGTTCTTCTTCGCTATGAGACCCATTTCTTTCAATGGAACCAGATACGTAGTTAATAGTGTACTAGAATTCATGACTTATGTGAGGTTTCGTGAACTGTCTTACTGATACCATGGTTCTTTTGACCTCTAACAAAGTCTCATATGTATTAATTTTAGTGCAATCAGAACCGAATTGGCATGCATCCATTTTGAGGAACAAGTCAACATTTCTGTAAGTCTTGCGTCAGTATTTTGGCAGACTTTTCCCGTCCACTCCAAGTTAGTAACATGTGCCTTTGTGTCCACTCTGGGAACCCACTGGTGTAAGCTCATAGAAACCATTAAGAGTTCAACATGCACCTCATGAATACCCTCATTCCAACCCTTTAAGATCTTGGATACAACCAAGCAAACCCTCCTTCCTATAAAGTTTTTCAAAGTTAAAATTGCTCCAATGCTTGAGGTAAATACTTTTTATCATTAGCATAAAGAAAAGTAGAAGAACTATTCAAAGAAAATTAAATTACATTTCTTTGCCACGCTTTGTAGTTCATAAAGCATGGGGCTTTGACCATGAAACGATTGTGATCTCAGTTTCCTAAATACAAGGGCCTTTCAACAACCAGCCTGAAGCTGAGCTGGTGTGAGGATCCACAAGCAGAGACGTACACTGTGGGAGGATTTTCATGTCTCTACTTGATGTCTGTGAATTCAAACAAGCTCTCAAACCGTAAATGGAGCCTTACTTTTGTCATCTTCAAAAGCTCTGCGTCGGGGAGGTTGGTGTTGAACGTGACATCTTTTATGTAGGTGATTGCAATTTCATCCCCATCCATCTCCATGTACATTTTCCACTTACAATCCTGGAAGTAAAAAAGCCAAGCGATATCATTTGAGAGAGTGACACAAGTGTTTAAAAGTCTGAATGTTTGATAACTTGTGCAGCCGTCGACAGGAAGTGTCCCTGGAGGATTTTGTTTTCTGTCTTCTTCCTTATTCAACACAAGGCATGCCGTTAGATCACTGTGTGCACCTAAATAACCCCCGGTGAGTGCCGATCTGAAACTTAGTTTCTGCACTACATGTCGGTTATGGGTTGGGTGATGTCACCTAAACTATGTGTTGTACACCCGAAACCTCTATACCGGTGGTCCCCGTCCCACTTTTGAGTTGGTTTTCTGAGGTAGGATCAGTGTAGGCGACATACCGAGTCAATCTCTTTTGAGATATAAATAAGAGACGAAACAAGCAGGGAGGAAATGCTAATAAAACTGCTAAAAACAAAACAGGAAAACAAGGAAGGGAGAGAAGCAGAGGTGGAGGAAGACAGAAGCCCAGACACGTGGAGCTCTCCCAGGATCCAACAAGGAGAGGCTCAAGAGACAAAGACCCTTCCTGCAGACGGGCTTCTAGCCTCCTGAACTGGAAGGAAGTAAACACCCTAAGACCCCAAAGCAACAACAGAAGCACACCCTGGTGTTTCAGCTGTTATAGCAACGCTAGCGAATTAATTCTTCTTTCTTTTAAAAAAAAATCAATATATCAGGGGCTCTTACAGCTCTTATCACAATCCATCCATCCATCCATCCATCCATCCATCCATCCATCCATCCATTGTGTCAAGCACATTTGTACATTTGTTACCATCATCATTCTTAAAACATTTTCTTTCTACTTAAGCCCTTGGTATCCGCTCATTTTCTTCCTCCCCCACCCTCCCTCCCCTAAGTCAGTTTTCTATGATAGGAGTTACAAACTCAAAATCCTCAAGATAATAAAAATGAGCAAAGTTAGCCAGTTTCATTATTGAGCCATAAGTTGTCAGGGATAGATTTAGTTTACATCTTTAAACATTGTAAGGATATTTTTCATAACCACAAAGAAATGTGATCTTCCCAAACATTAAAAAAAAAAAAAATCAAAGACCCTCCTAATCTACTGTTAATTTAATGACACAAACTTAAGATCCAGGTCACTTTGCTCGTCACAAGATGGAAGACATTATAAGCGAGACGATGATGAATGAAAATGGACCAGTGGCCTGACTACGGGGAGTGACAGGGGAGGTGGGGACTCTGGAATTCAAGTGCAATTGTCTTAAAGGGTCAGGCACTACTCGGCTTCTCTTAAATGTTCCTGAATGAGAATGTAGACCCAATTTTGCTGGGTCCTTTACTTTTTTTCATGCAAAACTAGAAACCTGTATTCTTATGTGAAGCCTCTCGATTTTTGATAAGTTTTCATTGTGAATTGGGTGAAAGGTTGCAGAATAAAACTCTTTTCCATCCAACAACTCATAGACATTTTGTTTTGTGTCACCAGTTATTGTCTGATCTTGAATGGCTGATTGTTCTAAGGAGTATGGACTTCCACGGTGCTCTTATTTACCTTAGAGACCTGTCTAATTATTTGGCTGAAATCTGAGCCTAAAGAGTCTTAAGAGTGTGACGGAAGGTTACAGCCTCAGAGGTTTCACCAATCTTTATGGGACCAGTAAGCCTGGGTTCTCTCTCTCTCTCTGTAGATCTATCTGTAGATCAATAGATAGAGAGTGAGGGCGAGAGCGAGTGAGCACCTGGTCACGGTAGCTGGGTACCATCTAGTTGACCTGGCCTCAGGTTTGTGGAGACTGAGGTGGGTGTTGTCCATTAGTCCTTTGAATCAATTGTTTCCATGCACCTTTGATTTCCTTACTGTTCTTTGCACCTTCAGTGGGCACTTATAAGCTTTTAAGAGCCCAATTATTACCAAAGTAGGATGTAGAACATTTTCTTTGTAGCCTATGCAATGCCAATTGATTTTGATACCCCCTGATCAATTGACCTCTTGATTTTAAAATGGCGCTATATGAATCAAATCTTCAAATACAATTCCATGTAATAAAAAATGCTTTCTATTATTAGTCATTGAACTTACTACCTCTTAGTTGGTTCTGACTCATCATAACCTCTAGGTCAGGATAGGGTTTCTGAGACTGTAAATCTTTATGGGAGCAGACAGCCTCATCTTTCTTCCAAGGAGTGGCTGGTAGGATTGAACTGCTGATCTTGTGGTGAGTGGTCCAATGCTTAACCCACTATAAAACCAGGGATCTTTTTATTAGTCATTGGGGGAATGTAAAATAAACCATGACCAGATATCACTATATGCTACAATGGTTAAGACTGATAAGAGCAAGTGTTCAAAGGATGTGCAGCAATTGGAACTCTCATGAATTGGTGGTGGTGGTGGTGGTGGTGGTGTACATGTAAATGGTACACAGTCACTTTGGAAAAAGTTTTGGCAATTTCTTAAAACTATGCATGCATCTATGCGATAAGCTGGACATTTCACTTGTAGGTATTTACACAAGAGAAATTACAAATGGCTCATATGAAAACATCCCCAGAAGTTTTATCATAAAACCAACAAGCTGGAAACAGGTTAAGGATCTGTCACCAAGAGAGAAGATAAACTATGGTTTATTCATGGAGTGGTCTGTGTACTTGCTAGCCACGCAAGTAAACAACTTCAAGATAACGCAACAGCATGAATACACCTCAAAACATCAGACTGAGTCCAATGTTTTAGAAATTCTAAAAATGGGGAAAAGTCAGAAGAGTAGTTGCTTCGGCAAACAGGTTGACTGAGGAGGGGCATGAGGGAACTTTCTGGGCCATGGTCTCTCAGGAGGAGTTTGGGCTCCATTAGGGGCTGTCCAGCTGGCTCTGACCCACAGCGACCCTATACGCAACAGAAGAAAACATTGCCCCTGGCACCATCCTCCCAATGGCTCTTAGGTCTGAGCCCCTTTTTGCAGCCCATCTCACTGAGCACCTCCTCTTTGTTCACCGCCCCTCTATTACCAAGCATGCGGGCCTTCTCTGGGGACTGCCCTCTCCTGATAATGGGTCTCTCCTGGGTGCCATAGATAGAGGCGTCTGTCCAAATGTGGCAAGTGTGCATTGAAGCAATTGCCTTAAAGGGTGGATAGGACTCTGTGTCTCTTGATTTCTTCTCGTGTGGAAATGGGAGCTCAATTTTGCTAGTTTCTTTCATTATTTTTTTCATAAAGTGTATGCATTTCTTCTTAAACTCTAGCTAATAACATACATCCTGAAGTATTTAGGCAGAAATGTGCTGATGTCTACTTTTATGCTTTGAAGAGCTATAAAAAAAAATTCAGGAGCAAAGGATGGCTAAGGAGATGGATGAGTGCTACAGCAAGGACAGGCCCCCCTGTGATCTGAATCTGAAAGGGGGGTGTTCCTATGAAGCATCGAGTAAACCAACCATTCATAAAGGCAAGAAACAATGATCACTTCTTTATATGGGAAAAAAATGTGAATATCCCAAATACCTAAAAAATAATCTACTGAGGACCTAATGTCGGGGGCTTAAGTGGAGAGGAAATGTTTTGAGAATGATGAGGGCAATGAATATACAAATGCGCTTTACACAATTGATGTATATATGGATTGTGATAAGAGTTGTATGATCCCCTAATAAAATGATTTAAAAAATACTTATTAATATACAAAATAAGTATTCCTTGGGAAATTCTTGGAAAGCACTGGTTTATGATAATGAGCAATGTCAGGCACACACAAAATGCAGAAAAAACTTTGGAATACCTGCATGTACATAACTCAGTATTCTTAATCAATGTAATTTGAAAAATAAGACCTGGCATATCTTGTTTTAATCAAGCAACCTCTATGAAAATCTGGTATTACATTACAGATCAAAATCCAAATAAAAGTTACAAAAAAAAAAGATGAATTGTATCAAGGCTTCCTGAGGGAGGGTGGGGGAGGGATGGGGAAAATGAGGCGCTTATACCAAGAGCTTAAGTAGAAAGAAAATGTTTTGAGAATGATGATGGCAACAAATGTAGAGATGTGCTCGACACAATGGATGGATGGATGGATTGTGATAAGAGCTGTATTAGCCCATGATAAAATGATTTTTTTAAATTAAAAAAACAAAACAATCTACTTGATCATCCCAAATCACACATTAAATCTAAAATAACACTAACATGTAGTAAAAAGTGCTCTGATGCCCCTGTGGGTCAGGTAGTGAGCTGCAGAACACAAGGTCAAACACACCCAACCTTCCTTGGGAGAACTATTAGGCTGTCTGCTCCCTTAAAGATTTACAGCTTCAGAGGGCCTATCCAGGGTCCTATGCATCAGAATCAGCGTGATGGCAGTGAGGGCTTGGTAACATATAGGAACGGCAGGAACCACGTGGGAATACCAAGCTCATGTGAAGTAGAGGCCTCCTGGGAGAGAGTGCTGATGCCCTGGGCTGCTCACAAAGACGCAGGCAGTTGGAAACCATCAGCTGCTCCATGGGAGAAAGATGAGGTTTTCTACTCCCCTCAAGAGATGTCGCCCACGTTCTTGGACCTCCCCTTACAGAAGGGTCACAAGGAAGAGACAAGCCGGTCAGGGTGCAGTACAGCACTGACGAAACATACAACTTTCCTCTAGCTCTTTAAATGCTTCTTCCCACCCACTATCATGACCCCAATTCTACCTTACAAATCCGGCTAGACTAGAGCATGTAACCGGATACAGATACGATCTGGAAACACAGGGAATCCAGGACAGACAAACCCCTCAGGACCCATAATGAGAGTCTTGATACCAGGAGGTTAAGCGGAAGGTGGGGGTAGAAGAGGGAACCAATCACAATGATCTACATATACCCGCCTCACAGGGGGATGGACAACAGAAAAGCGGATGAAAGGGAGACATCGGTCAGTGTAAGACATGATAAAATAATAATAATTTATAAATTTTCAAGGGTTCATGAGGGAGGGAGGAGAAAAACGAGGAGCTCATACCAAGGCCTCAAGTAGAAAGCAAATGTTTTG